AACTTGTATCAATGAAAGATCTCAAGTTAATAGGTTTAAAATCTTATGATTGTCATGTATTGATGCAACAACTTCTACCAGTGGCTATCCGTAGGATCCTACCGAAAAAATGTGAGAGTAACTATAACGAGATTGTGCTTATTCTTCAATTCCATACGTAATAAAGTTCTTGATTTCAAAAAATTATATGAATTAGAATATGAGGCTTCCATAATCTTGTGTCAATTGAAGATGTATTTTCCTCCATCATTTTTTGACATTATGGTTCAACTACTTGTTCATCTAGTCCGAAATTAGAATTTGTGGTCCAATTTATTTAAGGTGGATGTATCCAATAGAGAAATATATGAAGATCTTTAAAGGATATACGAAGAATCATCACCGACTGGAAGCTTTGATTGTTAAAAGGTACATCACAGAAGAATTCGTCGAGTTTTATACAAACTATTTTTCGGAAGCAGATTCTATAGGAATTCCAAAGTCTCGTCATGATGACACAGACGGGAGAGGTACTCAAGGTCTAAATGTTAAGTTAATGGCTCAGGATGTAGTTATTCAAGCAAATTTCTATATATTGAATAATATAGATGAAGTTCAACCTTTCATAGATACTCATAAAAGACTTTTGAGAAAAAAACATCCCTGAATGAGTGACAAGTTGTTGTTGATAGAGCATAACAAGAGATTCATAGATTGGTTTAATAAAAGTGTATCTAATGATCGTAGTGCATCCGAGATACTTAAATGGTTGTCGTACGAGCCAAAATTTGGTGTCATTAATTGAACTGCATACGACATTGGTCATTATACCTTTTATACAAAATCAAAAGATGATTGTAGTAAAATGCAAAATAGTAGGATTATGGTTGAAGCCAAATCGATATATTTCTCTAGTTTGAAAGATAAGAATCCTATATTGTCAACTACCACGTTTTATGGTGTCATTGATGAGATTTGGGAGATTGATTATGTTAGTTTCAAAGTGGATTTATTTAAATGCAAGTGAGTTCCCAATAATAGTAATGGTGTACACATTGATGACTTAGGATTCACCTGGGTCGACCTTGGCAAGAAATGTTTTATGACCAAACCATTCATCATGTCTTCTCAAGCAAAACAAGTTTTCTATGTTACCGATCCATCAGACATATCGGGGAAATTGTCAATCATTCTCCAAGGAAAACACATTCCTCTTAGTGATGAAAGTTTTGATATTTTATCCATACCTTCTTACACAACACAAGTTCCTACGTCATATGATGTGATAATATTTGTTATTTTTGCTAAAAATTTAACAACGGTTATATATCATAACCATTATAATATCTCGCGCGCTGTCCACAGAAAAATATCAAAACGGTGCAGCTGAGAATCAAACCTAGGACCATTTATTTATCACAACGGTTTTTTGAAAACCCCGTTGTGATATGGCGAGTGCTTTCCAATTTATTATAATGGTTATTATGCCGTGAGTGTAAGTATCATATATACAACGACACTCTAGATAATAACACATGTGCCAACATGATTATATATCAATCCTAACCATTGTTAAATAGGTTTTCCGTAGTAGTACATTTTTTGCCTTTGATCATGAAAAGTTATCCCAACCTAAATAAGTTTCTCTCTCAAACACGGTTATGGATAAAAATTTCTAATGTATTTAAAGACAAAGTTCATTGATTCCACAAGTTTTGTTGTCACGTGACCCCATCGTCGATCCTCGTCAAATGCCTTAGTCCACTTATTCGCTAAAATATTATCAACTCACCCTAATGCATCCATATTTGAAAATCTAATTTTCTCGAAACAGTGTCAGAATGATGACTAGTTTAAACCATACACTGTCAAGGTGTTTTACTTAAGCGCCTAAAAACTCAATACAGAGGTATGATATTAATAAAAAGTTCTACTGAAAAAAATAAATTAAAACTACATATTATATTATAATACTAATTAGTTTATTTTTATTTCTAAATAGTACTATATGTTATATTATATTACCCTTTTTGTTATTTTATTTTAATATAGTATTATTATATATTTACCTTTTTCAAGAAACATGGATAAAATAGGAACATATAGTTGGTTTCCTCTTGTTTGTTCTATCTCAATAGCTCTTTGTGTATAAATGCAAAGAAAGAGACATCTATATTTTATGGATGCACCGTTTTTCTTAAAACATGGGGTTAGTCGAGATTGCTCTCTCTAGCACCCATCAACCTCAACAACTACACATTTCCATACGCAACAAAGTAAGTTTATAACATTATATTCATTTACTTACTTAATACTATTCCCACTAAATAATTTATTTATAAATTTTTTAGTTGAGGTGGTCTGCCAATGGGATGAGTTACTTAATAAACTATTCATTTCATAATAATTTATTTATAATTTACTTACTTAATACTATCTCGGATTACTTGAGACCATACGATGTATTACTAATAAACTATTCATTTCATAATAATTTATTTTTAATATTAATAATTTACTAGTCTAATTTATGTTTCCCCTAGAATTTATTTGGAGGCCATATCTGAGTCTGGAATATCAAAACAAAAGGAACGAAGAAGATGCAACAGTTTAGACTGCAACAACGTCAATCATTAGGTTCACTAATATGGAGATGCAACATAGTGACTATGTAAAATTTCAATTCGACATGTGTCAAGAAATCTAAAATCCCTTGAGGTGCCTAAACAATGGCGCCAAGTTAAAGTTTAAGAACAATGGAACCCTTTTTTATTGGGCGGGCTTTGCTAAAGTTGAGTGTCACCAATAAAAGCCTCGTCATCAATGAGTCATAACCGATGATGTCATGCCAACCTAATCTAAATCAACTCCTAACTATATGTATTGTATAAATCGGTTACAATTGAGTTTCTACCTGGAAATAGGTATTTAGTCTACCCATGTCAACAAGTTTCAACAAAATTATCAAACCACTTACACACAACTTTCTATCCAACAAAATTACCCAACCACAAACATCCAAACCCACAACCAATACATTTCACACCCTACCAAAAAATAAAGAGCATACCTCCTACCACCAATAACCACATGTTTATAATCAAAACACTCAACAAACATATGCCACTAACACATCATATCATATCCAAAACATCCAAGAAACATATGACATATACACTTCCTACCATAGCCAAAATACTCAAACATCACAACACCCAAACAACCAAGAAACATATGGTTACCAAATACCACAACAACCATTTCTTCATTTTCCAAATAAAACATTCAAACCAATGTCGTCATTCAATCGACCTGGTTGCCCACCAATAACCCCATCAACCCAAACAACACAACCAAACAACAACATGGACAACGAACTCAACTACGGCACCGCATTAATGTAGACATGAAATTATGTAGAATTACAATAAATTCTTATGGGTGATGGTAATGGTGACTCTCTAGGGACCTCATATCAACCGCCTTAGATGAATCAACATATACCTGTATTAGAAAGAGTACCTCAAGAGTGTGAAATCGATGGAGAGTATGTTCAAGCATATCATTATCATTAATGTAAAAAATTATCTCACATGTAATCTGATTTATATTGAATCATATTAGTATTTACTAAAAAATTTCTTAATTATTATTCTTTTTTAGTTAAAATAAAAAAATTCAAATTAATTCAAAATGGGGTTGTGTAAGATGAATTGACCTCCCGTTTGAAGATTAAGGTGTAGGCGCCAATTGAACTGACTTGTTTTATTAGAGATGCCAACTAGATTGGTTTGTCCTTTTTGGAGGTGCTAATTTGTTTACCTTCCAAAATATTAAATGAAGGTGCTAATTCAATTGACTTAAACTCTGTGCATATTAAATTTTTTTGAAACATAAATATTTTAAAAAATATTCAAAAATTTATTTTCATATTATTATTTGAAAACATGGTTATTTTAAAAAATATTAAATATACTTGAATTTAAAGAATTAAAAATTAAGAAAACTAGAGAAATAAAACTGCATTTAAGTCAATTTAATAGATAAAGTTCTATTAAAATGTAAGAGCAACTTTAACGCAAGGTTGTTAAACCAAAATTCGTTATAGCTTACGTTATTAATAAGGAATTTGCATTATACGAGAGCTAACATGACATCCAAATAAACTAAAATTTAGTTTCCATTATCTATGTAGTTAACGTTAACTATGTGAAACCTATTATAATATTATTTAATATTAATAAAATATCTCAAATATTCCAACAAGGATATGATATTTGAAAATAGTAACGGTCATATTATCATTTTTTACCTTCTATAAATTCTATAGAAATTTTAATTTTTTTTATACACAGTTTTACTTCTAAATTTTTTTTCTTTCAATTTCCAATCTTATTTATTTATCAAATGGATCCCAACCAATCGAATCCTTATTATAATTATATTCCTATGAAAATGTAATTTTTTTTATGTATTATTGTTGTGAATTTTGTATCATTTTTAATTTTATAATAAAATATATTTAATATTATTTTTAAGTTTTTAAGGTAAATTTTATTTAAAAAATTATATGTATTTTAATTAAAATAATTAAATTAATGGTAACTTGAATAAAAAATATAAAATGTGGGGTCAAGTTTTGGTTTCTTATAGACAACCACCGTTAAAGTACTCAAATCAACTATAAATTTTTTAAATCCTACAAATCATTTTGGACCCACAAAAAGTATCTTAGTTTACCCATTTAGTTTACTCCCACTAAAAATCTCTAATGATATATAATATAAATAGTGAGAACCATTTAATAACTTTTTATAGAGATTTATGTTAGAATTGTTGAATACTTATTAGTACTAGTAATAAAACAAAACTATAAATGAGTGATATGAACAAGTGAGACACATTTAAGCATATGTTTGCAGAAGAAAAAAAAAGCTCTTGCAAAAATGTCCTGCATGACTTAAGAAACATCTCAATTCTTACAAGGATAGAAACATTTACATTTACATTACATTAATGTCTTAAGGATAAATCTCAATCAGAGATAAAAATCCAGTCAAGGGAAATATTTTGTAGTCTTTAAAATCTGCTTCCACGAAGAGTTTCTTCCATTCTTCCTCATTTCTTTCTTTTCCATTGATACATGCTAAGCATGTATCAATTTGCATCTTCAATAGAGTAATTTCGCTATTATCTTTCTTTTCATTCATCACAATTTCGATGGCAATCACTTTTCCTGTTTTCTCATCACTTGTAATTGCTTCTTTACATTTTTTCAGTATCTTTATGCAATCCTTATCAGTCCAATCATGTAAAATTGTCTACAAGAAATAGAAAGAATATGAAATTTTCTTCAAATATATCAACTAAATTTTTTTTCATAGTTTACGTCAAATTAAGAAAAAGATACCTTAAGAAGAACTGCATCAGCCTTAGGAATTGATTCGAACATATCTCCACCAACATATGTCAAATTGTTGTTTCCAGATAAATTCTCTACAACCTGTGGAAGATCAAACACAACACATTTCAACTTCGGAAATGTCTCGCAAATAATCTTACCCAATGTTCCAGTTCCACCTCCAACATCCACAATAGAATCCAATCCATCAAACACAAAATTACAATCTTTCATTGCCAAGTTTATCATTTTCGAATCACTAGCCATTGCCTCGTTAAACAATCGGTTATATTCAGGGTTTTTATTGAGAAACTTCCAAATATCAGATCCTAAAGTTATATCAAAGAGTGTAAGATCTTCTTCGTAAATCCACTTTTTTAGCTCATGATACGAACCCGAAAAGGTTGGATCAAGAGCTAACTCTACCATTGGTGCTAAACAAAGGTCAGTTCCTTTAACAAGAAGCTCTGAGACAACGGTGAGAGCGTAAGCTTCTTCTCTATTTTCTAACTCTTGATTTGTTATTATTTCAAAGAATCCATTGTGTGCAAGGTAATGCATGAGACGTTGTAGGTTACCGAATTTGGTTGATGGAACTTGAAGAATTGAAACTAGGTTTGAAAGAGAAATTGGTTGGCCATGATTGTGGATTATGTTTGGTATGTTCATTTCAATACACCATTTAAGACACATGGAATCCAGCATTCCATACATGTGTTTGTATAAATGAGCTTGTCCTTTGAAGATTTCACTAGGTTTGCGGTTATGTATTGATGAAGCCATTAAAACTGCAACGGAAGGAACCGTAGGTAAAGCTTTTTTCTTACGGCTAGGGCGTAGGTAAAGGTGCTTCTACAAACAGCGTCAATTTTTTTTTATGTTTTCTTTGGAGAGTAAGGAACCTCAAGAAATTATGAGCATGGCTTCTAAGAACTAGAGTTACTAAAATAAGCGTATTACCATATACTCATATCCGTACAAGTGTTTGTGTAGTAAAGAATGTGCTTTGAAAATTTTTTAGTAAAGAATGCGCTTTGAAAATTTTACTTGGTTTGTGGGTATTGATTTATGAAGCATTGTTTTGGCTTATTATGTTATTTAGTATTCTATTGCCAAAATAGAAAATATAATTTTGTAAAATAGATGAATAAAATATTTTTATTTTAAGTAGATTTTACAAAGAAATTTATATGAGCTTTAATTTAGTTAACTTATAAAGATATAATAAAAATCTTAATCTTACTCTTAATTTAACTATTATATTGAGAAATAAATAAAATAAATAATTAATATTTGAACAATAAAATGCATAAATAAATATTCATATATTAATAAAAAGAAGAGATTAATATTTTTATTTATAAATTGTAGTGTTACATTTGAGGAAGTCGTAAATTATTTGTGGAAGTCCTCCTAAGGCCTCTAAGTATTCCTACCTTTTCAAGGGAAACATGCACACCTGCACTTTTTGACGATTACAGTGACGCTCACTGTGGGTACCCTGTAATACTAACTTGGGCAACACCCTTTTTATCACCATCACCTTTTCCGTTGTTATCCTTCACTCTTATACTTAGCCACCTTCGACTATGGTTAATAAGAGAGCTCAATCCCCTACACTAGAAGGTAACAGCGGTAGAGATGATGTCGATGCCCTGGCGGATATGTGAGCGGCCAAGGAAGAATTATGCCGCCATAACTAGACGTTGGTAGACACCGTCCACAACATCATATAGTGCTAACATGAGTCCAACCCTCTGAATGAGAGGGAATTGTCGGACCTCCAAACACTCTCTGACGAGATACGTGGGACACTTGTCCGTGAGGGTTTCAAACCTCTCTCCTTGGTCAAGTTTGATTAGACGTCACCCTCAGATGGTATATGGATTTACCCCATGCTTCTATCAATAACTACCTTGAGAAATAGAAAACATGGGAATTGCGGCAGTGAGAATTAGAGACCAAAGCTATTGAGTTAGCTAGACTTTACAAATCTATAGATATCATCACCAATCATTAATTTATCCAAGGGAAGGGGTAAAGAAAGAATAACCTATAAATATACAATGCAAAAACAATGCAATAAAGAGATCTAAGGTACGAGGATTGGTTATACTAAGGGAAGGTATTAGCACCTGTTGGCACAGGGTTTTTGGGAGAACAACCTCTAGCCTCTTATTAAATTTTACGTGTAGGATCGGCTACAAGAATCCTAGATTATTTTTTAAATGTATGTTAACGTTTGAGTTCCTAAGTTTGGAAAAGGTAGATGAACAATTGTGCTTCCACAATTGTATTGAATCAATAAAAGGAAAAGTATAGCAAAAAGGGGAAAACAAACAAATGAAGGAAAAACATATAAAGTAAATTGCTTAATAAAAAGAGATTGACGCATGCATATGGATTTTAATTAAGGCAATTCCAAAGTGCGTAAATCTTTGGAAGATGTTCCCAGCAAGGTGTGGCAATCAATAAAGGAACTCAGAATAGATGGTGATGAAGATGACAAAATTTTTTAAAGCATTATTAGGGGTTTTAATGAGTTCAAGCTTTTGAGGTTGGCATCAATTTTGGTAAAACTAACTTGAAAACTAGATGTTGGACAAGTTGTCCTAACATGAAGAACTAACTGAAGATCGAGATGTTAGACGAGATGTCTTATCATGATGATTTGACATCTTTGTCTGTTACTTTTCATTTTTTGATTATGATATTTTACTTCTAGATTTGAGATTATTTTGGGAATATTTGTTTATCCTAGGTGGCGTTCAAGATTGAGGAATCATAGATTTTGTAGGAATCTAAATATTCTGTTTTCTAAGTGTGGAGTCGCTTTAGGAAACTTTGGATTGAAGAAACTATTATTTTGGAAAATCAGTTGCAAATTTTGTGTAACAGAATTGCTGTGTTTTTGAAGCCCAAATCTAGTCTAGTTTATGGTTATAAATAGGATTGATTTAACCTAAGAATAGTGGTGAATATACATTGTTGCTTAGTGTGTAGTAGGGTTTGTATTTTGTGATCCTCTCTTGTGTCGTTCTGATACTTGAGCTAGATTGTTTACATTGAGTTGTAATTTTTATCACTGCAGTGATTGAAAGGGAATTGAGAAGGGTCTCATACCTAGAAAGAGTCTTAGGTAGAAATTAAGCACAGGTAGTGATTAAGTGATAGGTTGTAAACCGGAGGTTGTTTAGCTTAGAATTAATACTATCTAGTGTATTTCATTCCTGGCTTGATAGCCCCCAAACATAGGTGTTGTTGTTCACCGAACTAGGTTAACAATTATTGTGTGTTTTTTTTATTTTCTGTAAGTTTTTATTGTACTGCTTTTTGTCATTGTTCTTAGCAGAGATCAAGTGTCTCGACATATCTTAGGACATCTGAGATTTATATACCATAATTTCAATTGGTATCAGAGCAGGCATCTTGCCCTGCATCTGGGTGAGATTCAGGGAAGTTACTCTTTGGTACAATGGACAAAGAAGGGGAAATATTAAACATACCACCTATTCTTGATGGATCCAATTATGAATATTGGAAAGTGCGCATGATGGCCTTGATCAAGTCTATGGATGGTAAAGCTTGGAAATCTGTGGTTAAAGGATGGGATCCTCCAAAAGTTAAAGATCAACAAGGTAAGATTATTGATGTTATAAAGCCTAAGGAAGAATGAGATGATGAAGATGACAAGCTTGCTCAAGGTAACTCCAAAGCATTGAATTCCTTATTCAATGGTGTGGACAAGAACATTTTCAGGTTGATCAAGAATTGTACTGTTGCGAAGGAGGCTTGAGAGATTTTGAAGACTGCGCATGAAGGAACTTCTAGGGTGAAATCATCTAGACTTCAACTTCTCACAACTAAGTTTGAAAACTTGAAGATGAGAGAAGATGAAAGTATTCAAGATTTTCATATGAACATTGTTGATATAGCCAATACTTCCAGTGGTCTTGGAGAAAATATTCCAGAAGCTAAGTTGGTCCAAAAAATTCTAAGATCTCTTCCCGAGAAGTTTGACATGATGGTAACTTCCATTGAAGAAGCTCAAGATATAAATACCCTAAAAGTGGATGAACTCATGGGTTCTCTTCAAACTTTTGAAATGGCTATCAGCGAGAAATCTGATAAGAAGAAAAGCATAACCTTGGTGTCTAATCAAGATGAATGTAAGACCGATTCCAAGGAAGAGTTGTCTAAGGCAGTTGTGCTTCTTGAAAGTAGTACAATCAATTGCTGAAGAGGATGGACGGGGAGTCAAGATCAAATGCCAAGACTCAATCATTCGACAATAACAAAAGGAGGGATTTTGGAAGAAAGTCCAAAAATGAAGAGAAAGATAACAAAGGGAAAGGAATCCAGTGCTATGAGTGCGAAGGATTTGAACAAATCAAATCTGAGTGTCCTACCTTTCTCAAGAAGGAGAAGAAAGGCTTGTCTACATCTTGGTCTGAAGATGACTCCTCAAGCGAAGGAGAAATGACTAAACATGTTTCTGCACTTATTGGAGTATATGATTTTGAAAGAGAACTAGATGTTGAAGAACTCACTTTTGATGAACTGGCTTCCTCTTATAAGGAGTTGTGCATCAGAAGTGCAGAAATTTGTCAATTTGGGCAGAACCAACAGGATATTATTGCTCAACTCTATGACGAAAGATTAAAGCACTTGGCTACCATTTCTGACCTAGAGGATGAAGTTGTATTGCTCAATTCAAAACTTGAAAATATGACTAAGTATATAAGAGTGTTCAATAGCAGTTTAGACGTGTTGGATGAAATTCTACAATCAGGAAGGAATGCTAGAAATTTTAAGAGACTTGTTTATAATGATCCAGTAGGGAAAAGACATGTTCTGAATTATGCTCAACACAAAATAAAACAGGATCTAACGATTTCGAGTAAGATGTCTCAATATCTACCAAGACCTCAGAAGAACTCATCTGGAAGAAAGAAGCAGGACTGGAAATGTCATCATTATGGTAAGTATGGTCACATAAAGCCTTATTGCTACAAGTTGCATGGTTACCCCAAATAAGTGACTCGGTCCAAGAGGAGAGAGGATGCTGCTAAAGCATTCCTAAAAATGAAATTGTTGCTCTCATAGCTCATACCTCTCTAAGATCCTCTGCCAGAGAAGAATGGTATTTTGATAATGGTTGTTCTAGACACATGACTGGTGTCAAGAGGTTTTTGGTTGACATTAAACCATATTTCACTAGCTATGTCACCTTTAGAGATGAGTCAAAAGGTGAAATAAAGGGTGTTAGGAAGCTGGATAAGGTGTTGTTTGTCAAAGGACTAACTGCTAATCTAATAAGTATTAGTCAACTGTGTGACTATGGACTCAAAGTTAAATCTTATAAATCTGAGTGTCTGGTAATAAATGATAAAGAGGAGGTAATCATGAAGGGTTCCAGATCTAAGGATAATTGTTACTTGTGGACTCCTCTTGAAATAATGTGTTCCTCCACCTACTTGATGTCAAAGGAAGATGAGGTGAAGATGTGGCATCAGAAACTTGGCCACTTACACTTGAAAGGAATAAAAGAATTCCTGTCTAAGGAGGTTGTCAGAGGTATTCCTCATCTAAAAATTGATGAAGGAATAGTTTGTGGCGACTGTCAAATTGGAAAGCAAACTAGGATGTCACATAAGAAGCTTCAACATATGACCACTTCAAAATACCTGGAGCTATTTCATATGGACTTGATGGGACCTATGCAGGTTGAAAGTCTTGGAGGAAAGAGGAATGCTTATGTTGTGGTCGATGACTTCTCAAGA